CCCCCCTCTCTACCCCAATCCAATCGATTTGAGCCGAGTTTTCGTAATTGCTTGATGAAATTCCGGAAAATGCTGGGAAAATCATTTGAATCAGTTAGTTGGGAAATCATTTGAACTCAAAAAAAAAAAAAAAAAATGCATTTTCAGGTAGTTGGTTGTTCCTGTGTGGTTCTGCGTGATTATGGCCAAGATGATGGGGCACGCGTCTTCTTTCAGGAATACTTAGAAAGCCAGAAAAGAACCTAAAAATTTTTTTTTGTGCTTCCATCGTTTGTTGTTATATTGTTGAAGAAATTTGCATGATGTTGCATTCGATAATACATCGATTTTGATAATTTTTGGTTCTCTGACATCAAAAGGCTTACCGCCAACTGAAGCATTTTTTTGTTACTATAAATAGGGGTCAATAGATTTGCATGGAATAGGTAAGCATTATGGGGTTAGAAAGATGCAGGAGCGAAACATTTCTTACCTATTTTAATAATTCTTTTCATGTTTCCCATCATTTTTTCTTATATTTTTCCTTTAACCTTAAATTAGGGGATATTTGGAGATACTTGAGGATATTTGAGGCAGTGGGAGAAGGGGGGAGACTGGGTGGACAGGAGGTGAGAGGGGGAGGGGGAAATGGCGACTAATATCGTAGTGGTGGCGAAGGTTAACCCCGTCTAGACATCTGAGATCTGAAGGAGTCATTTTTCTACGGCAGATATGATTTCATGATCAGAGTTTCAGCGTTAATTGAATGATTAATCTAATAAATTGGCGCTTCCTGCTTTCTCACAATTGTCAAAATTCGATTGCGTCCCTCTTAACGACGGCGCGCCGGCAGTGCCAAACAAACTATGAATGTCAGCAAATAGAAGACTTCAGGCCCCCAACTTATCCCAATCCTTTAGTCAGAGATATTCATAGTTTGCATCTTAAAAATTTCTAGAACACTTATCATTGGTGTTTTGTTTGGTGAAGTAACAGGGAAGGGATTCAAGTCCGAATTTAGGTACTTGAGCTTTCAAATGCAAAGAATGCTGGACAATTTAGCGCCTTTAAACAGCTAATGTTTCATCATCGCATTTCTTCTCGCAATTGATGGAACTGGCAACTTGCCGGTTCTTTATTTTGAATTAATTGCATAGTCCGGTCTGTGTTTACAGCTAAGAGATGAGACAGAGACTGCATCCTAAAGTGTCTTTTTGTACATGACACTTAAGTCGAGTCTTACTACTGTTCATTGGAAATGTGCTGCAACTTGCTGACACCTACTATGCTTGTTAGAGCTCAGCTTTTTTCCCCATCAAGAACAGGGAATCTCTGATGTTCTATGCAATGAAAAACAAGCAAAAAAGTCCACACTAAAGTCAAAAATTCTGGCAATTACTTAAACTCGACTCGCTATGTTCAGGAGACTAAAGGGGAATTTGCTGCAGTTCTCAGCGAAAAAAGAAATTCGCTATTTTTGGACAACTGTACGTCTTGCAACGGATTCCCAACCTCAAAAGCGAGTGCACTACGAGCCGAATTTTAGCATTTTGCGAAAATTTCCAAAAAAAAAAAAATCTCAAAAAGATTAATGAAATCGCTAAAATTTTATACGGTCTACAGCTTTAAAGCTCAGTTTGTGAGAGTATCTCTGGTCAAAATGCTTCATCACATCTGCCCTGCTTAATCAGTAAGTCCCATGCCTGCTTCCTTGTTGAGTTAGGGGAAATCTACTTACCCTAAAATCGGTAAAAATCCTTTATCACATGCAGAAATCCCGTGGGATTTGGCAAATCTGACCTGGGATTTGTTTCATCCGTATCGGCTCAGATATCATCCATCGCGGCATGGGACACCAAATTTTGGTTAGATTTCGTATCTGTTAGCTTAATCCCAAATGAATTAGGCATGGCCCTTCGGTGTCCCCAAATTGGTACCAAGGAATTCGTCGCACAAGATTGCGTCGAATACGTTGTAGACCCTGGAAATTTATGACATATCTGGGAAAAATGCCGCAGATCCGTGAAAATTTGAAATCTTTAAGTTTTGCGTAGACGGAGAATATCCCCTCAAAATTTCAGCTTTATAGCTTTTCTGATTCCCGAGTTAGCGATTTTCCCGCCAATAATTTTAAGCGCTCGAACGCAGGGCCCAGACGTCCATAAAGCTTGTACGCGTTAAAAACTAGTTCGCGTGAAAGCACTGCTACTGACATGGTTTTTTTTTTAAAGTACCGCGGATTTTTTCTTTCAGGATGACGGGGCCCGAAAAATCCCCGGATGTTGCGGAACAAGTTTCGTTTGGAGGCACCGCATATTCAAATGAACCATCGGTTGAAGTTGCCTGGGCAGTGCAGGTTTGTTCGAGATATATATATATATATATACATATTTATGTATACATATTTACGCATATATATACGTAAAAATGGTAGAAAAAATGGTATATAACTACCAGTAACTTTTATATATAGTCCAGTTTCCGGTGTTTACAGCTAAGGGATGAAACACGAGATATATATGTATATATACGTATATATATAGGTATGTATATACGTATACATATACCTATGTATATATACATATTTATGAATAGAGATGGTGGTTATGTGTATATAACCACCAGTTACTTTTATATGTTATCCAGTTCCCGATGTTTACAGCTAAGGGATGAAAAACAGACTGCAAACTTGCCTGATCCATTGGAATATGTAATTTTGCAGCTATCCTGCTAGATATTTCCTTCCAATGTTAAGCATCAATACGAAATTCATGCGTTATTTCAGTTTTTCGTAAAACGGCATAAATATACTTAAAAGTAGTGGTTGCCTATGTATAACCACCAGTTACTTTTACATGTAGTCCAGTTTCCGGTGTTTACAGCTGAGGGATGAAACACAGACTGCAAATTTGCCTGATCCATTGGAATATGTAATTTTCCAGCAATCTTACTAGATATTCCCTTCCAGAGATTTGGGGAATTTAGGCGTCGATACGAAATTCATCTAATTTTTGGGGTTTTCGTAAAACGTTTTGGGGGGTATTTTGCGAAGAGCTCTCAGAGGACATGTGTCTTGTTGTGTTACGGGTTTAGCCGATTCTGTTTTTTTCGGTGCTCATCGGAAATGATGATTTCTGTGTTTCTGATTTTGTTCGAGAGATTTCGATAATTTTGTTGTGCAGGGAATCGATTCCTTGATCTGATAGGGTAGTTTAAAAGTTGTGCGTCCGATTTTAACAGCGGTTATTTTTACACACTGATCTTAGCTATCCTTTTTAATTTGAAAAACATCTAGCAAACAACTTTGCTTTATCGTTTCTACGTTTTTACCAACTTATATGTTATCAAGGGTATGTTATCGGCTTTTCCAAATGGTGGACTGGGGGCTGCACTGAATCTACACCGAATACCGTCTGTGTTTGCAGCTTAGGGTACATTCAGCCTTCACACAGGTCCTTATTACATCTCCTGAACATTTTTTAACAACATATGCTTCCCACTGTCTTTTTTTACTTGTTTTCTTGGTTTTTCCTTTCATTCCAATTTTATCATTTTTATTTTAATAAAAAAAAAAAACGTTCCCTTTTTTGCAGGCTGCCGAAAGGGCAAGCATTCATATGAGCCTGCTGATGGCTTGCGATACAAAAA